GGAACACCGTAAAACTTAGCATCAATGCAGCCAGGGCCAATCCTGGCATCTAAAGCTTCCAGTCTTGGACAGAGCATGCACATCTCAGTTGGATGTCCAGCTGCATCGGGATGCCTGGATCCTGAGACCTGGGTGCAGGTGAGACTAGAGCTTCCTACCAGCCCCGAACAAGGAAGAAGCAGTTTCTCAGTATACATAGCAGATGACGCCTTGCAACTTGGTGCAACTAGGTCACCCTTGAAAACCCGAGAACTTACTTTGCTTGGAATGTGATTGGGTAAAAGGCCCAAGGCACAGATGCGGAGGGATTGAGTCTTTGACGTCAGGTACCCCTGTAAACAAACAATGTTTAAACCCACATTCTAAGAAAGGATTTAGTCACTGAAAAGTGCGTTTAAAAACAGCCTGTGGATTGGAAAAACCAAGTGCACAGCCATTCGCTCATGGATCTTAAGGGTCCTCTGTTGGCTACTGTATGTATGAAGTCCACAGGCTTGTGCCCAACTCAAGGCTGGAATAAGGTCTGTGTGACAGATAAAAGGGGCCTTAAATCACATGAAAATGGGCTTGGTGCCTACCGTATGCCTTTCTGAACCTCGTTCTGTGGAAGTGTAGGCACTGTCTCAGTTAATCCTGAGAAACAGGCCTGTGAGGTAATGGGGTATTATCCCCTCCTCCCATCCCCCTCCCTGTCCCTCCCCTTCCCTCCCCGACCCCTCTCTCTTTCCTTCTCCCTCCCCCTCTCTCTTCTTCTCTTCCTCCTAGTCCCCTCCCCTCCCTCTCCATCTCTCCAAGTCAGAGTCCTGCTACATAGCCCAAGCTAGCCTCAAACTCCCCATGCTCTTCCTGCCTGAGTCTCCCAAGTCCTGGGATTACAGGCATGAGCCACAGTCCCCTGCTTGCACTAGTCCTCTTTTAGAGATGATCTGAGACTATTCTGAATAGCTTGCTCAAGGTCACATCCCAATGCAGAGGACAGCAGAGACTTAACTCCTGGTCTGCCTGTCCTCATTGCCCCAGCTCTTCACAGCTCAGCACCAGGAGGCCAGGAGGCTGGGGATGGAGCTTTTAACATGCACAGAGTACAGGGCCTCCTCTCTTTTCTCCAGGGGCTGGGACCCAGGATTCTGCATTTTTAATCCTTCTGTTTGTTGAGGACTGCTCACTTTTGCACAGTGCAGAATTGGAGAATGTCATCCTTAAGGCAGTTTGTGTGATGGGGAAGGTCCCTATCTTCATTTCTATAGCAAACTGAAATCCTGTCAGGAGACGGATGAGGTGACTGGGGCAAAGGTGGGGACAAAGCTGGTAGAAAACACCTACTAAGTGCCATTTCCCAGAGATACCCACAATGTCAGAGCTGCAAGGAGTTACAGATTATTCAGCCCAAGATACCTTACATTAAAGATCCAGATTCACACACAGCTGAGTTGGAGTCTGCTTCCAACCCTACCTCTTACAATACCCATGCTTTCAGTATATCACGGTGTCGGGGGATGGCTGAAGATCACCTGGCTTTACTTTAAAGCACTCCCACTACCTGGGAGAGAGGACAATCCAGACCCGAAGGCTGCTCTCTTCTCCCTGTGCTATAGCCCAGGATGGTCTTGAACTCCTGATTGTCCTGCCTCACCTTCCCCAGGCTTGGAACCACTAGTGTGCACTACCGCATCAAGCTCGGCCTCCATATTCTAACTGTACCAACACACAGCTGTTAATACATTGTATAGAAACACCAGATTCTGTCCCCCGCCCCCGGATTCTGAGGTCAGTCCCGGTTCACAGTTGGCAGCTTTCTATCTAAGAGCAGTTGTCTGGCCGGCTCCAGCCCTTCGATGAAGACCTGCAACATCTATGTTTCACTTGCAAGGCAAAGGGCAATGTCGCAGCTCTCCCGAGGATCTGAAAGGAGGAGGCCATGTGCCTGGTGTCCCTTTCAGGGACAGTAGCACTCTCCCAGTGTGCCCATGTCTCCCAACAATGTCCTGATTATGTCAGTCTGATCGCATCAGCCTTGACAGCAGCTGTGACAAGATGAACAAGGGCTGGAGGGTTAGGGGCTTCAAACAGGATGTTCCTCTGACACCCTGAGACCTTTGGCAGCCCACAGGCCCCTCTGCCTCAATTACTTACCAAAAAAGGAGCTATCTCACTAGGTCAACACTAGATAGAGTATACACACAATTCACAGACATACAGTATTAGATGCATGATTCATGGACTATGAACAAAATGCTTTGAAAGGCTAAGGAAGTTCTATCTCCCTGCCCAGATGCCGGCATGTGCCTCTGACAGTTGCCAGGGCTAGTGACCACACCCCTGGGCAACAGACAGGTGCCAGTCGAGGCAGGATGTGCTCCTATTTTACAGATGTGGAAATTGAGGGTTAGGAGAGCTCAGTATTCTATCTGGCATCTTCTTTAGGGCAGGAGTTGGAAGAACCTGGACAAAAAAGTTGACCATGAACTTGACTGTATCTTATTTTCTGAAAAGCATTGTTCAAGGTACATTTTGTCCTCAAAGAGAGACCCAGCACAATCACTGTGAGAGGACTGGGGATGGGGGCTCAGTGGAACAGCTTTTACCTAGCATGCTCAAGGCTCTGGGATCAACCACCAAAAGAGAGGAGAGAGAGAGGGGAGAGAGGGAGAGAGGGAGAGAGGGAGAGAGGGAGAGGGAGAGGGAGAGAGAGAGAGGGAGAGAGAGAGAGAGAGAGAGAGAGAAATAGACAAGAAGGAGGAGCTAAAAGAATGGAAAAAAAGACATAGTTCGAGATATGGTGAGACAATAGAGAGAGAGAGAGAGAGAGAGAGAGAGAGAGAGAGAGAGAGATTAAGATTCATATCTAAGATGGTGCCAAACTTTTACTGAAAAAAAATGGATTTGCTCCTAGTGGCTACTACATTTACAGACAAGTAGGGTGCCTCTGTTTGGGATTTGATGACCATTACAGTAGCTGATTACTGAAGGGCAGCCTGGGTGGGGGAGGTGTCAAACAGCCCTATTGTTCTAGGAAAGAGGGTGGGATGTGTACCAGCAGCAAGTGCACCAAGGGACAGTGTGATGCTGTCCTAGTGGGGTTTAATAAGTTGTGGGAACACAAGAGGTCAGGGAAATGGCTTCTGGGTGAAGGCGGTTAGATGAGAGATAAGATGCTTGAACTAGACCCTTGTGGTGGGCAGAAGAATGCCCTCCTGAAGATGTCCCACCCTCATCTGAAGGCTCGGACCGCGTTCCCTCACACAGCAAAAGCAATGAAGAGTTGAGATGGAGGTTACAGACATGGAGGTGGGGAGAGCCTGGGCCTCCGGGTGGGGCCAACCAGCTCACCAACCTGTCAAAGCAGAGCCTTCCCCAGCTGTGCAAGTGGAAGAAAGAGAGATGGGGTGTCGTTGAACCCAAACATGGAGATCCACAAGCCAGGAAATGTGGGCAGCCTCTGGAGGAAGTGGACAAAGGGGGAAAAAGCCTCCAGAAAGGAACAGAGCCGCCAGCACCTTGATCTTAGCCCAGTGATACACAGACTCACAGGGTGACTTCATAGTATTGCTTTGTCATGGCTTATAATGTATTTTGACAGTGGTAGTAAAGTCATGCAGTTCTGATGTGTGGGATGAGCTGAGCCACCAGGAAAAGAGGTGGGTCCCACCACAGACAGAGAGGATGGGCTTCAGGGAGCCAAGCATACCATGTCCCCAGAGCTGTCTAGAACCTTCTGTCATGATGGCAGTGCTGTGACTATGCTGTCTGACATGATTGCCATTAGCCACATGGGGCTATTCAACACATAATAATTTTAATTTCTTAATTCATTAGAAATTAAATTGAATAGCCCATGTGGTTAGTGGTTAGTATGCCACCTTTCCAGGTGTCAGAATCAGCACTTTAGATGCCTGTACAGCAGAGACCCTTTAACCCTATCCATGGGCCCACAAGGGTGACTCCTGTCTACCTGAGGCTCAGTGAACCTGGAAGACATGTACACGTTCCCAGACAAGACAGTGGAGAAGTTGGGCTTCTGTTCTAGGATCCCAAAGATCCATGGCTTTCTAGCAGCTTCAAAACTCGGGACAATGCCTCACAGTCGGCTCAGCACAAGGAGTTAGGCCTGTGATGAAAGTCAAGGGCAAGAGAGGTAGATGCTGCCAGGGCAGACTTCAGTGGAAGCCAGGAAAGTCTTCCCAAGGGACAGCATGTGTGCTCAGGGCTGAGGGTGAGGAGGTGTCGTCCAGACAAAAGACAGCAGCAGGTGGAGGGAGTCCAGGTGAAGGAAAACCGGTGAGAAAAAGAACAGTGTGTTCAAAGACTGAACGGAAGTCAGGGTGACTGGCATGGAAGAAGGAAGTGCCAAAGGTCAAGGCTGGAGAAGTAGACAGTGGCCATATGTCAGCTCTCGGAATTCTAAAAGTTACCCAAAGGATTTGCACATCATGTTAAAAGTTTCAATCTGCGTGCTCCGTACCAGATATAAACATATGCACCATTATTTTTCACAGACTTCTGTACAGGAAAGGGAGTGGATGGGGATGAGTGTGGACGATCAGAAGATGGCCAGCCTCACTAGTAAGCATGTTCTGACAGCAATGCCATTGCGTGTCCATCTGTTGCTGTGTATTTTCAGGTTCTTTTTTATATTTTGAGTCAGGGTCTGATCTACAGTCCAGGCCGGCCTCGAACCTGTAACCCTCTAGTCTTAGTCACTCAAACGCTGGGACCACAGACACGCACCACTCTGCTTGGCTGTTCCTTTGTATTTTCAAGTGCTTTTCTGTCTCTTACATGCTCTCCTAGAAAAAAACTCGGAGTTTCATTTCACAGAGCGAGAATTCATTCTTAGAGGCCTGATTTTCCCCAAATTCTGGTTGGCTAGTGGTACAGTTGAGTTTAGAAGAGTCTAGAATCCACATTACCTATGTGTGTTCAAAGGTCTGGTTTAGGAAAGGACCCTCAGTGCTGGCCTAAGCCTCCATTTGGTAGATGGCAGCCACGGCTGACCTTACCTTCCGGATGCCATCATGTTTCATCTCGATCACATGGAGGGTGTAGTTCGTCCGCCGTCCCTTTTCATTAAACTGCACGTTTCCTGTCAGACCTTCGAATCGCACCTGGAAACAGAGCCAGACACGGAATAGTGAAGGTGGCGAACGCACAAGCTGTGCCTGTTGATGTTTTTGCTGTGGTTTGCACTTGGTTCTTGTAACTTGGGCTGGCTTTGCACTCCACATGGAGCTGAGAAGGATGTCCTTGAATTCCTGATCCTTCTCCCTCCACCTCCCAAGTGCTCAGATAACAGGTACATGCCACTGACCCAGGCAAAGCGATTCTTGCTTAGCAACCTGGGAGTCCACTGTCTTGACTGCACACACCCCTTTCTGAACAATGCTTCTGGAAACCAGTTAACAACCTAGGACCCCCAACCTGCTTCAAACAATGGAAATAAGTTATTCCTTAGTGGCCCCTTCATAACACCCTGCTTCTATTCAAGCACATCCCCAGATACATCCCAAGACCAAAGAAGATGGGCCCATCTGCCTGGACTAGTTTGGGGTGCTTAGGTAACAAAGCAAACTGTGTTCTCCGAGTGGACTTTTAGGGAGAGCCCCTATTGTCATCTTATGCCTATGCATAATTGGGCATGCATAGGATTAAAATCAGATGTATTATACAGGGGACTGTGCAGTGAGAAAAGAGCTACTAATCTAAGCGTGTCATTCAAAATAGAGAACCGCCCAAACTGCACCCTTAGTCACCAGCTCCCTATTCTCCCTCTTCCATAAAAGGAAACCCCCAGATAAAACTGGGGCCTTGGAGTGCCCTATGTGGCCCACTGTCAATCTTGACAGTGTACCCTTTCCTTTTTATTAAAAAAATTTTATCATTTTTATTTTATGTGTATGCATGTATTACCTGCATGTAGGTAAGTGTGCCCATGTCATGCAATGCCCATGGAAGACAGAAGAGGCCGTCGGATCCCCTGGAACTGGAGTTATGGACAGTTGTTAGCTGCCATGTGCATGCTGGGATATGAACCCGGGTCTTCTGCAAGAACAACCAGTGTTCTTAACCACTGACCATTTCTCCAGCTCCTGTGTAGCCTTTTCTAATGCACTGTGGCTTTGCTGTGAACAAACACGCTTGTTCCTTTGCTGTCAGGGTGTATGCTTATTTCATTTTTAATAAGATAGTAAGACCCTGGAATACCTGGCCCAGACCTTGACCACCAGCAACTACCACCTTTAGCATTTCTTTGCTTTTTCTGCTGAAGCAAAAACTCAGAACTCAAGAATATTGCATGCATTGAGGACTTAGAGTACCCACATGCTCAGACCTCCTACCTCTTGCCCATGGCCAGCACCAGCAGATTCTCCACCCTGCTGAACTGGGATCCACCCTGTGTCATTCTTAACCACGACTTCAACAGTGCACCAGCGAGCATGCTTGTGCTAATCTTTGCAGCATCCCTGACCAGGACCCCTGCTGCCCTGCGCCTCCTCAGGTGTGTATCTGAAGATGAGGAAGTTGCAGGAGGCCCAAGGACAGGGACTCATAAGTCAGACCCCAGACTGGAAGCTAGCCCTCTGACTGGCACCTTGGGTTACGCTTGGGAAAGGTTCTCCAACTCCTTTGTGAGTTCAGGGAATCTCCCCGCTAACAGCCAGGTGACCTTGGCGAGTCACCTTTTTCATATTTAAGTGTCGAAAGTTCCTGCCCTGCCTACCTTAAATGACACAGTTAATGTAAAAGTGCTGTGGAAACTGGAACACAGGTATGAAGAACTCATGTTCAGCCCACAGCATGTAGGGCTTTAACAAGGTCTCAGTCAAAACATAATTTCTATCAGAGAATCTGCTGTGTGGGCATCTTCTCTCTGAGTGAGTCTCACTGACCTCGAGTGGACTCACATCTCTAAGATAAGATTAAAGGTGAGGTGGTCATCTGAGATCCGAGTCCTTTAGGGCTTAGCTACTGCTCTGCGGGTGATTGATAAATCTCATCCAAGTCCAAGTTGAGGATGAGTCCAGGACACAGAGTCACAGTCCCTGAGGGGGACCCTGTGCCCTCATATTCTTCTTGCTTGAGGTTGGCCAGCTGAGTCTTTACCTGCTGTATTAGTCAGGGTTCTCCAAAGAAACAGAACTGGTAGAATGAATATATATGTATAGAGATTTATCAGCTTAGCTCACAGGATAGAGTCCGAGTAGTCCAGCAATGGCTGCACCACACTGGAGAGGCTGAGAATCTGTAGTTGCTCAGTCCACAAGGCCGGATGTCTCAGTAGCCTCAATCTGGCACTGAAGGTCTGATGAATTCCAAAAGATCATCCAGTCTTCAGTCTACAGCAGCAAGACGAACTCACAGGCGAGAGAGAGAAGGCAAGCAGCAAGAAGCCAGGCGTTCTCCTCTGCCTTGGCCTTTTATACGGGCTGCCATTAGAAGGTGACACCCACATTTAGGGCGTGTCTTCCAGCTTCAGATGACCCAGTCAAGAAGATCTCTCTCATTTCAGTTAATCCCAGATCCAGTCAAGTTGACACCCAGGATTAGCCATCACAAGTCCACCCCTTGTCAACTTGACACCCAATAGCATCTCTCTATGTCATGCTTAGTTTTCAAATGAAAGCAATGTTAAGGTCATAATTTTACCTAACATGATATAACTATCCCATCATACAATGACCAATGCATTATATATCTTAGAGTAGGTGATAAGGTCTTCAAGGAATGCTTAGTCCTTTAGTGTCTCATAACCCAATATAATCATATAGGTTCACAATACTTAACCACTTAACACATCTCAATTACACATTCAAAAAAGAGTAACTCAACTATCTGCTTAACGTAAGTGCATA